CTGTCTTAGCCTCCCAAGCCACTGGGATTACAGAGGTGCACCACCACACCTGGCTTAGAAAAAAATTTCTATAGAATGAAGTGTTCTAAATAACATAGCATAAATGAGATGACTATTAATTAACTACTGAATTCTAAAAATATGCTTTAAATTTGAATTTTCTTTTGATATCTGGGATGTATAAATTCAGGTGAGTTATCTTGAATTAGTGCCATAAAGAAGAAGCAAACTAGTCAGGGAATTTTCATAAATATGAAAGTAGGAACCAGAATATTCTTCAAGCATCCTCTAATTATGAGCATAGATTTGGACTTAAGATGAACATTTGTTTCTCACTCCTTGTTTATTTTTTTAAATTATTAATCCAAGATTCAATATTCTCTTGAAGAAAACTTCTCTTCATTGTATGTTCTTTGAGACATCTCTGTCTCTATTCTTTGGTTATTTGGTTAATTTTTCCTTTTAGTATCTGTGAGGTTTTCATTCAGTGATATTGCCCCCACAAGGTTGTTTTTGTCATTCTTCTTTATCTTGGAAGGCTCAACATTTATATTAACATGTATTTTTAGCTATTTAACACACAAGATGGACAGAACTCATTCTGTTTGTGATTTCTAACAGTTTTATTTATAAGATACTCTTAAAGCTTAGGTCTCATATTTTCCCTCAAGAGATAATTTATGCCAATATAAGTCACAAAAACACATTAAAATATCACACATAATTATTTTAAATTTCTAAAAATGTTTTTTTTTCCAAAAGCACTCTAAACTACGGATGGCTCCAATTTCATCCTAGCTCATTTGGATTAATAAAATAATTTAATGAATGTCAGTATTTGTGAAATTATCTTGGAGGTAAGGGGAATAACATTTTGGAGATCTCTCATCTTCCTCACCCCACGAACAGACATAGCTTAGTAAGTGGCAAGATTAAATTGAGTTTACATTGGAATGGCTCAGAAACATGTTCTCCTTCTCTTGTATCCTGCAGTAATGGAAAATATTAAGTTAATTTTTCAAATTTGGTACATATTACACCTAAATATTTTTTCCTTCCTAGGATACCCCGAAAGAAAATGGAGAATTACCTCACACTTCTAATGAATTGAAGAATGATGGTAAAATATTTGAAGAGTATCTATTGCAGAGCTGATTATTGATTTAAAATTATGGATCTTTTTCTGTACTCTCTATTTTGCTTTTATTTTTGTAGAAGAAACAAATGAAACTGAGGAACCCAAACTTAAAACATTACCTGGAAACTGTGATATTGATATTAAAAAGAAAAATGTGATTGAAACCACTCCTGTGGAGGAAATCAATATAAAGAACTATAACAGTAATTTTTCCTCCTCAGTTGGCTCAAAGGTAAGAGTTTTTTTAAAAATTATTTTTCTTATTGTTTTTACATATCATCTCTCATATACACATAATGATGCCAAACAGCCTAGAAATAAATATAAGGCCACAGAGTCCTAATAAGAAGGATAGCATCAGTTTTAAGTATACCATTAATAATTATAGAATGTGGTGGGACTAATCCTCAGGATGGCCTTAGGCCTGAGCCTAAGCAACCCTATTTTGCAGTTTCACCAGGCACATCCACAGATCCCTCCAGAATGGCCTCAAACAAGTTACTTCCCCTCACCCTGATAAAAGAGAGTGAAGCCTCTGGTAGGCTATCCTTGCCTGATAAGAGGGAAAGGCCAGAAGATCAGGATGGAGACCACCAGAGCAGATGTTTCTGATCCCAGGATAAATAATGTCACTGAAAAATCCAGTGGTAGCTCATAATGATTAAAAGGGGGTCAGAAGCCCCCAAATTTAGTATAAATGATAGAGCAAATGAACAGGGATTTGTTGAAGATGCTATCTTTTCTCCAGTTCATGTTTTTGGCACCTTTGACTAATTTAAGACAATTGTAATTTTGTGTGCCAGTCTATATGTTCTCTATTCTGTACCATTGGTCTACCAGTCTGGTTTGGTGCCAATACCATGCTGTTTTTGTTACTATTGCTCTGTAGTACAGTTTAAGGTCTGGTATAGTGATACCACCTGCTTCACTCTTCCTGCTAAGGATTTCTTTAGCTATTTTTCCAGATGAATTTCATGATTGCTTTTTCTTTTCCCATGAGGAATGCTATTGGGATTTTGATCAGAACTGCATTAAATCTGTAGAGTGCTTTTAGTAGTATGAAAATTTTGATAATGTTAATTCTGCCTATCCAAGAACAAGGTAGATCTTTCCATTTTCTTTGATTTCTCTCTTTAGGGTTCTGTAGTTTTCACTGCTCATTGTATAGATCTTTCACCTCTTTTGTTAAGTTGATTCCCAAGTATTTTTTATTTTTATTTTTTTAGGTTATTGTGAATGGGATAGTTTTCCTCATTTCCTTCTCAGAGGCTTTGTCACTGATATACAGAAATGCCTTTGATTTGGGGGTGTTGAGTTTATATCCTGATAGTTTGCTAAATTCATTTACTAGTTCTAGAAGTTTTCTAGTGGAGTTCTTTGGGTCTTCTAGGTATAGAATCATGTCATCAGCAAATAGTGCTAGTTTCAATTCTTCTTTTCCTATACATATCCCTTTGATTTCTTTTGTCTGGCTAATTCCTCTGGCCAGTGTTTCAAGAACTATGTTGAATAGAAGTGGTGAAAGAGGGTACCCCAGGAAACAGGATTTATAAGCAACCATGGAATCTAGCTAGTTGGTCTAAACAGGCAAGGGTACTCAATTTCTAAATTTCAGTAGCTGCTTTCATTAGGTTGGGCCCACAACTGCCCTGGCATATTTCACTGTACTGATAATGAGTGAAAACACAATAATAGTCATTGTAGCAAGGGCAACCTGGTAGAAAATGTTTGGGAGGAATAAACTTTAAAAGTAAAAAGTAATAATAACAAATAAACTATATACATTGCTCTCATGTTAGTGAGAGAAGAGAGATTTGATGGAGGGATACTTTCTGGTTTAAAAATTATTAATGTGTGTCTATTTGTGCTTTTTTTTTTTTGAAAGATAGCACTTGTATAGAGGGGCATCTGCATGGCAGATTTGCAACCACCACAATGTGCATTGAAGACAAACATAATGATGTGGTGGGTATGCAGCAGGAGTTTCAGTATTCAAGCCAATGGCCTTTGTGAGGAAGGGAAGGGGCTCAAAACAGCAAAGGACTGATCCAAATGGCTCCAGTGGTTGAGTGTGGATGGGTGCCTCCTGCCAGCATGAATTCTTAGAGAAAAGTCCTTTCCTTAAAAAGAAAATAACTTTTACACTTAGAATACACAGGGCATGGTGTGCATTTATTAGTCTGATAAATTAAAAAAAAAACACTCAGGTAAGCACACTCACTCATGGCAATTTTCAAGACTGGAAATTATTTTCTGAAAGTATCATCAATTTTCCTCTTAAAAGGCTGCTAATTAGAGCAGATTTATTAGTTCTTACCTTAAGAAAACTTGAATTATTGGAGGGGAAACATGTTCAAAAGACAGTATATCTTTCAATTCACAAAGCCAGCAACCTGAAGTCCAATTTTCAGTATTTTAACTACCTCAGTAATGCTATGAATGTAAGATATTGGGAGAGAGATCCTAACTTGAAACAACAGAAGTGCCTGTGGTGATTTAATGTCTTGTCAAATGCTTTTATTGGTTGATTTATGTCATTCTCATTATAGAACAATAGGCCTTTTTAAAAATCTTATTAACACTTTTCCCAATTTATATTTTAAAAAGCTAAAGAACACTGGATTTATTGGGGAGGGGGTAGAATAAAATAATCGAGTACTATTGCTGCATACCCAGGGTGGGATGGGGTGGTTGGAGAACCAGAAGTGTTTTTAATAAAACATTATGTTTCAATATAAATACAATTCACAACTGTCAGCTTTGGGAGGGGGTTGAGTGGGGGAGTTGTGTGGGTTATGTTTAATTTATTGATCAGACTTTAAAGCTGTTTGTTACTTTGTTTGTTTTTTTCTTTTTTAAGATTACTGGACCATGATTAAATGTGTACTATGAAGAGATTAATATGAATTAAGGGCTTTACCAAGTCCACTAAATAAAACTACTCAAGTACAGACTGCAAACCAAAATGTATCTGTGTTATAATATTAATTGCAAATGGGGAGCATGGTACTGAAGTCTACACAAGTGGAATTAGATGAGTGCTATACACTTAATTTTAAAATAAAACTAGTTTTCACTAAAAAAAATCCAGACGTTAAATTATACTCCGAGTATAATTTAATATATGCATATTAATTATATATTAATTATTATACATTAATTAATATTAATTATATTAAAATATGTATATGTAACAAAAGTGTCATGTTATTGGCACTGAAGCAGACATGAATACCAATAGTATAGAACAGAAAACACAGAGACTAACTCACATAACAATAGTCATCTCATACTAGACAAAGGCACCATAGGCATACATTGGAAAAAAGATAGCCTCTTCAACAAATGGTGTGGGGGAAACTGGAAATCCATATGTGGTAGAATGAAATTGAACTCCTATATTTTACCCTGCACAAAACACAAATCAAAGTGGATCAAGACCGTAGGCATTAGACCAGAAACCCTGCATATACTACAGGAAAACATTGGCCCATCAGTTCAGCTTAGGAACCAATTTCCTCTACAAGACTCCTAAATCGCAAGAAGCAAAATCAAGAATCAATAAATGAGATGGTATCAAACTATCAGCTTCTTTTTAAAAATATTTATTTTAGTTGTAGATGGACACAATACCTTTATTTTATTTTTTATTTTTATGTGGTGCCAGGAATTTAACCCAGTGCCTCACACATGCTAGGTAACTGCTCTACCACTGAGCCACAACCCCGGCCCCCCTAACAGCTTCTGAACAGCAAAGGACATAATAAGAAATGTGAAGAGAGATAACACAGAATGGAAGAAAAATTTTGACCCCTGTACCTCAGATATAGCGTTAATATCCAGGATATATAAAGAACTCAATAACACACACCAAAAAAAAAAAAAAATCAATACATGAGCAAGGGACCTGAACAGACACTTCACAGAAGAAAAATGAATTCAGGCAACAAATATAGGAAAAAATGTGCAACATCACTAACAGAAAATGCAAATTAAACCTACACTGAGATTTCATCTCACTCTTGTCAGAATGGCAATTATCAAGAATATAATAACAATAAATGTTTGTAAGGGTGTGGGGAAGAAAAGTATACTCTTCCATTGCTAGTGGGACTGCAAATTTTTGCAACCACTCTGGGAAGCAGTATGGAGATTCCTCAGAAAACTTGAAATAGACCACCATTTGACACAGTTATCCCACTCCTCAGTAAATAAGCAGAAGTATTAAATTCAGCATACTATAGTGACATTGTCACATCAATGTTTATAGCAGCTCAATTCACAATAATTAAGCTATTGAATCAATCTAAGTGCCCTTTAACAGATGAATGGAAAATAAAAATGTGTTACATATACACAATGAAATATTACTCAGCCAAGAAGAATAGTGAAATTAAGGCATTTGCCTATAAATGGACAGAATTGGAGACTATCACGCTAGGTGAAATAACCCAATCACCAAAATCCAAAAGCCAAATTTTCTGTCTGATATGCAGATGGTGAGGCAAGGAGAAGGGAAAAGACTGGACAGGGTGGATTGTGGGGAATGGAAAAGGAATGGGAATGGGACTAACAGTAGAATTAATCAGACATAATTTTAATATGTACATATATGAATATATAACCAGTGTGAATCCACTTGATATACAACCACATGATGGTAGAATATATTTTGACATATCATGTGATATGTCAAAATATATTCTACCATCATGTATAACTAAGAATAACAACAAAAAGAAACTAGTAATATAACCACACTATAAACCAGAAATTCCACTCCTTCCTATTTTCCAGAAAGATCTAAAATTAGCATACATGGTAACACTGCAACCGCAATGTTTATAGCAACACGATTTACAATAGCTGGATGAGAAAAAGAGGGAGAGCAAAGAGAGGATCCCAAACTAAAACTGAGTTCCATGCACATAAGTATGTCAGGATGAACCCAAGTACCACATATACCAAAAAATTATAATAATAATTTTTAAAGAAATCAAATGCCAATTTCTAAATTTTAAAATTTAATTCCATTTCAAAGATTTTAAAAAATTTATTATATAGGCCAGATTCTTGTAAATTAATAAAAAAGAAAGTTATGAAATCTTTATAAAATGTACTATAAATCAGGAGTTGTAAAATTATGTTTCGAGGAAAAGTAGGTCATCTGCATGAATGCTACAGTTTGCATCTATGGTATGCAGGAGGCACTCTCTGCACACCACACCACACAGTAGCATGGCTCACAGGGGACACATTTGGTTCTTAAGAGAAGTTTGAATTCCAGATTTTTGCATGAGTCTTCTTAATTTTAAATGTGGACACAGTTTTTAGAGGCAAATTAAATATATCCATGAGATTTTTAAAAAATGAAGAAGAGAGAAGTTTCAAGAGTTGTTACTATTCTAATCAAGAAAACCCTGCTTAAAAATCCACATTTGTTGACATACAACACAGTTAAAACAAATATATTTCAAATGAATGGTGGTTGGTGCATTCCATGGTTCTGTCTTCTATATTTGTATTGAGTGAAAGCAGTTTTTATGCTATTGACATTTTCTTCGAAGAGACAGCAAACAGGAGAGGAGTTTTATCTCTAGTGTTTTGAGCATTTGGATTGGCACTATTTTCTAGAAGGATAGTTGCACATTTCTCTTCCAGGCACTGTAGGGCCTATGGTTCTATACCAAAAAATAAGCTGTAAATTTTGACAATCCAAGAAAAACATTTCATATGTTTTACTAACTAGTGATATTTACAACAGCATTAATTAATTTTTCTTCTAAGCACTTCAGAATCTTTCCTGCACAAACCCTTGGCTACATCTTCTTTCATCAATGGTGTGTTGCCATCACAGTCACAGAGGTGAACATTGCATCTCCTCTTCGCTAGAAAAAAAACAACTCACTTGAATGAATTAGTGCTGCAGCCCTCTCATCTCTCACAGCTGAGGCCACTGATTCAGGAAATACTTGAGAAGGGGTGATATGGGATGTAGAAGAGATAGACACACATAGAGGAAAACACGTGAGGCCAGGCGGGCAATCAACCTCTGATGGAGTTTAACTGAGCCAGCACTAGCTCAGATTATTTGTGGGAAATTTTTAGTGAAGCAGTCAATCTGAAGGATGCAGGACTATAAAGACACTAGGATCATGTTGTTTTCCTCAGAATTCTCTATCCTGGACAGCTGGAGTCTGAACTCAGGATTCTGATTGATAACTGCAGAGTGCCTTTGCATGTAGTCTCTTCTGGCCAGCATCACCATAGCAACTGGAGCTTATTGACCAGCAAATGTGCACAGGCAGTTCCTAGCACTAATGCAGTCACATAGAGTCAGAAAGATCATTCAAATAAACTCTATTCACAGATTGTATGGGTGGTCATTGCAGGTAGGAAATAGCTGGAAAGGGTGGGTCACAGAAGAAGGGTCTCTGGGGAAGTGTCTGGTAAGGGTGAAAATGGTATTTAGGATAAAGAGAGAGAAATAATAAATCTTAAAGGAAACACCACACACCACTGAGATGTAGAAAGCATAGATGTAAATCTTGAGCAACACATCCTTGACCTATGCCCTTGTAAAATGAGATAGACATGCAAGGGCAGGGAAAACGGGTGCAAAATTGAGCAGCTGTCTCCTGGGTCCACATCCAGTCTGCCCCTGATAAAGCCCTTCTATAAATATTGAACCACCAGCTTAAGTCAGAGCTGTTTTTTACTCTAAAGACAGCCCACATTCTCCATTGAATGTGCTGAAATTCTACTCTCTCATGTATGCCAAGAACCCTACTGCTCCTGAGCCGAGTTCTCTCTTTCTTCAAGGAACTCCTTGGATTCTTCTCCAGAGACATCTCTTTTCCCATGACAAGGGGAGTTCTGTCTGATTCCTAACGGCTATTCCCTAATTTCTTTTTCCCTTCCATACATTTCCACCATGAAGTTTTCCCTCATCTCAGGGACAGAAGATCAGAGTTAGTCATCAATAGACTGAGACTTCTGAAACTAAACACCACAAATAATCTTTCCTTTCTTTAAAATAGATCATGGCAGGTGTTTTGATCACATTCATGAAAAAGCTGACTAAAACAGAAATTAGAACCAAAAAGTAGGGTTGTTGCTATCACTGACCTGATCATGTGGTTCAAAAGCCTTCGAATCTGGTTGGTAGTCATAGGAATACTGAAAACTTTAAAATGAAAGTTGGAAAAAGTTTGATATGTGGTCAGTGGAGATTAATTGGTGAGTCTTGGGGGGAACTCGGAAGACCAGAATATCAACATGACTTATGGATAAAAAAGTCTGGGCTCATGAGTTTTCAAAAGAAAATTAGACTAGAGAGCATTCATATTATATTCTGTCCAAGAAGTTGTCTACATTTTGCCTGTGTTCTGATACTTTCCATGAGGTTGAATTTAAAACTAATGGACTGTGGATCATGGTGGTGCATGTCTATAATCCCAATGGTTTAGGAGACTGTGGTAGAAGAATCATAGTTCAAAGTCAACCTCAGCAATTTATTGAGCCCCTAAGCAACATGCCAAGAATCCATGCAGAGGTCTTGGGAGAGCACTGCAGTATAAAAGCAGTTGGATCAGCACAGACCAGTGAAAAGGGATATGATTTGTTCTATTCACAGTGTGACTCAGATTACTTGTTTATATGTGCTATTCCTATTTTAAATTTCTACACTTAATTTTGTACTTTTTCTATGTTTGTTTTTCCTACATTTTTAAAATAAGTATCCAAGTTTTATGTTTAATTTTTTATATGACTGATTATGAATGGCTGGTTGCTCCAAACTCACAGGTGGAGGGGAAACAACATGGGAATTGACAAGTTTTGGCTGATAAGTAGAGACTGCTTCCAGCAGCCTTTGAGAAGTGGCAGCTGAGGCATGCTGGATTTAACTACATGAAGTTAAGCATCTGTGTGTGGGCCATCTGTCACAGCAGCAACTGTC